AGGCTATCAGTTTGCAGACCTCAAGATGCCCATGTCATCTCATACCGGCACTCGAAATGGCACTCAAGCCCGGTTCGTGAGTCCCATGGTGGCACGCAAATTTAAAAAAACGAAGCGATACTACTTATTCTCAACGTGAGTAGTCTTCTCTAGACTAAGCCTGCTCGAAACTACACTTCAGTCCAAGCCGGACGGGATGGCATGGTCTTTTGAGAGACAAGCTGTCCTGTCGCCTGGTTGCCAGATTATGTGAAAACGACAAATGTCACTTTCCCATTCACCCGAAGCCAATTGGGCTGACAAGTGTCCGTTTTTCGGCATTACTGACACTCTCCAAAATGATTTGACGCGAGAATAAGCCGACTCGTCGACTGCAATGGCAGACATAGACGGACCCACTCGACAATGGGACTGCAGAAGAGTGTGATTCGACAAGGGCTCGAGTCCCGTTGACAATGTGAATGGGGCGAGTTGAGGCGACTTTGTCGGTACAGTTTGTCGTCAGGACGCTGCAACAGCATCGCTCACATCATCGCCACGAGGCAGAGGAGGCCGGCCAACATGTTGAGATACCGAAAGTCGGCTTGACGAAATCTGCTCGTCTTTCTTCCCTCGCCTACCAACCACGTCTGGCCTCGAGTCCCGCACGTTGGCAACATCGTCGTCGCCCAATCAGATGATGTTGGTTTGACCCTTTCGCGACACCACAACCGTACCAACCAATCTTCCGCAAGAACAGGGCACACATTCGACGTCTTTTGGCGGACGATCTGCCGGCCCCGTTCGACGGGACTCGAGCCCAGTAACCGCTCGTCGACCGACCAACTTTAGACCGAATATCTGCCACCCCGATTTTTCACTCTCTCTCTCTCTCTTTCTATCTCCTTTTGCATTATCTTTCACGTTCTCTCTCTCACACGATCTATCTCTCTATTTTTATCTATCTCCCTCATTCTCTCTCTCACTATCTCATTCAATTTCACTCTCTCTCTCTCTCCTTCTATTTGTATGTAATTATCTCTCTCTCACACTCTTTCTCTCTCCCATTCGAGGGCCCTTGGCCAGTTGTGCTTGGAAGAGAGTCCGTCGGAATTCCACCTCAACAGTCTATTCATTAGTATTTTGTGCTCAATTAATAACTTGCAGTCGTGTACACGACGTCTGTTGATTAGCACTCGGCCCCTCCCTCGTGGCTCTTCCACCTTGGCATTTCTGCACCATAGACCAGCTGCACAGTTGAACTGCCTAGTCTACTGCACAAACACAGCTTGTACGCATGCATTTAGCGCATTTCACACGAACCTCTCTATGTGTGTGTTTGTGTGTGCCTGTGTGCGTGTCGTATGTGCATTTTTATAGAAATAAGTATGGCATTAATTACGCCGGTTATTATGTGTGCGTGCTTTTGTCAATTGACCTGAATAATGTGTGTCACTGCCCGATTGTCTGCGTGTCTATGAATGAGTATAGTCGTAAATGTGA